AAATCTTATCGACCCCAAACATTTGAATGGTAGTAAATATATAAAGTATATTTTCCTCTTAGAAAGAAAGTAAAATTGGTTGTGAACATTGTTTTATGTTGATTTTACAAAAATAAGTAACAAAACCATTATGAGATGACATCCAGCTATGAAATGACTCTGAAAGTCATTCTCTGAATAGGAATATATTCATGAGGTCATGGGCTTGTAAAGCGATCAGTCTGCGGCTGATCCCCTTCACCTTTACTAGGAAAAGTCCAGGCTTTGTGAATCTGATCCCTAAGCCTTCAGAGTTCAATAAGGCACCACTACCTACTTGAATTATACAAGAAGATTATATTTTTCAAAGGATTTATTTTTAATACAACCAGTGCTCTACCTGGCGGCAACGTTATCACAACATTTTTATTCAGTCTGATATGGAGAGGATTTGATATAACTTGCTTTTTCCAGTGCCTTGCCGCTCAGACAGATATACAAGAATAACATGGATATTTCACAATAACTTGTCCCACAAAGTTTGTGCTACAGACATGAATGATATCTTAAATCATGCGACCTATAAAGAGATGTGTGATCATGAAACACAATTTTTATGTGCTGGACAATAAACATTCCCACAAAATTACACTGAAGGAGTGACTAAAATCAGAGACTTGGCTCCAATAAGAACCACATAGCAACAAGCTAAAAATTCATAGTAAATCATCTAAATGAGTTGGTTTGGTGAACTTACCTTTCTTTCTTTGTTTCAGACCCAGAGGGCCGCAGGTTAAAGGGCATTCAGAGGAGTACAGAGACAGGGCTGGCCGTAGAGATGCCCAGCCGTACGGTCCGGCAGGCGAGCCACGAGTCCATCGAGGACAGCATGAACAGCTATGGCTCGGAGGGAAAGTGAGTATTATAAATCAGGACTTCTCAAAATACTACATTTCTTTTAAAGAAATAGTTCACACAAAAATGAAAATTTGCAGAAAATTACTCATCGTCAGGCCATCCGAAATATAGATGTGTTTGTTTCTTCATCAGAACAGATTTGGAAAAATGTATCATTACATCACTTGCTCACCAATGGATGCTCTGCAGT